GAAAGAAAGAAAGAAAGAAAGAAAGAAAGAAAGAAAGAAAGAAAGAAAGAAAGAAAGAAAGACAGACAGATGGTGGGGTCCTAGGTGCCCTCTGAGCTGGGCAGTTTTCTTGCAGACGTTTCATGGCCCAACTAGGAAACATCATCAGTGCTGGAAGGGAGGAAGGGAGGAAGGGAGGAAGGGAGGAAGGAAGGAAGGAAGGAAGGAAGGAAGGAAGGAAGGAAGGAAGGAAGGAAGGAAAGACGGTGGAGTCCTGGGCACTCTCTGAGCTGGATGGTTTTCTTGCAGACATTTCATGACCGGACTAGGTAACATCATCAGTGCTGGAAGGGAGGAGGGTTAGCAAGGAGGACGAGGACGAGTGAACAGGAGCGCAATCACGATGTCAGTCCGTCAGACTGGACAGGCCTTCTCCTGTTACTGCTAAAAGAGAGTCTGCTGAGCTAAGGGCCGACCTGGGGGGTCCTGGGTGCCCTCTGAGCCTGGCTGCTTGTAGACGTTTCATGACCCGACTAGGTAACAGCATCAGTGCTATGATCATCATAGCAGCAGCAGCATTGACGACATCCCCTCGTGGGGTCATGAAACCTCTGCAAGAAAAGCACCCAGCTCGGAAGGCGCCAAGGACCCCAGGTCCCTAGTAGGGGCTGCTCACCTCCCTCCCCACTCCTCCCCTCCCCACCGGACGTACCTGCTCCAGCTCCTGCTCGGCGTATTTCTGCCTGCTGAGCTCGTTCTCCGTCCCTTCGCGCAGCTCCCGCAGCCGGTGCGCCTCTTGCTTGGCGATGCTGATCTCGTCCTGCAGCCTCTTCTCCAGGGAGACCTTCTCCACCTCCACCGTGCGGTGCTCCTCCTGGGCCTTCTGCAGCCTGGGAAAGAGGCGGGGGACGATGGGCCCTGGGGCGGGTGCAGGAAGGGCCCAGCCGAGGAAGAGCAGGGCCGAGCGCGGCCGGGAGGGAAGGCCGAGGGCAGGGAGGCCTCCTGAGGTCCCGAGGCCCAGGAGGCCTTGTGGAGGAGCAGCAGCAGCCGCGGCCGAAACCTGGCAGAAGGGCTGGAGAGGAGACCCAGAGGAGAGCAAGGGCAAAGCAGGAAGGAGGGCAGGGAGGGACCGTCCCAGGGTTCCTCGGGAGATCTTCCAAATCTCCTTCGTTTGGGTTCAGGGCCACCTCCTCTCGCAGGAGGGTCTGGGGGGAGAACCTCACGGGGGGAGGGGAGATCTGGGGCAGGCGGGGATGCCAGGGAGAAGAGAGCGAGGAGCTCGTTTCAGCCCCCTCCCTTTCTGCCACAGAGGCTTTTTTCCAACCACCGGAGGGCCCAGGTGGAGACCCCTGGATCTAATTCTATGCTACAGGGAGTTCTTGTAAGTTTAGTGCAGGGGTCTTCCAACTCGGCCCTTGGATGACTTGTGGACTTCAACTCCCAGAATTCCTCAGCCAGAAGTCCAGAGGGTCTTCAAACTTGGCCCTTTTGTGACTTGTGGACTTCAACTCCCAGAATTCCTCAGCCAGCGTGCTTGTGATGTCTCTCACTCCAAGGGGAGGGCCTTAGCCTCCATCAGCCCAAGGACACTGCCTTGGGTCAGGGGTGGGCAACTGTGGCGATCCGTGGACTTCAACTCCCAGAATTCCTGAGTCAACATGGAAGCCAAACGCCAGCAAGAAAGCCACCAAGCTCAGAGAGCACCAAGGATCCCCCCCACCCCCTTTTGTCCTGTTACTGGATCACGTCTCCTTCGGCAGCACCTCTTGGGGACATGCCGGAACACTTCCAACTGAAACAAGAAGTGGGCCGGGGGCAACCAACTCCCTGACGTGCAAGGAGGAGCCCCGTGGAGGCTCCACCACCCTCACCCTGCGGGGAATTCATCCGACGTTCATCCCAGAGCGAGGAAGGAAGGAAGGAAGGAAGGAAGGAAGGAAGGAAGGAAGGAAGGAAGGAAGGAAGGAAGGAAGGAAGGAAGGAAGGAAGGA